TCTCTCTCTCTCTCTCTCTCTCTCTCTCTCTCTCTCTCTCTCTCTCTCTTTCTTTTTTAAAATGTGGTAAATGCTTGGAGAAGAATGGTAGGAGACCCCCTGGGGTCCTGATCAGGAAGTGTTGGGACACCACAACTGACTCACCCTGGACTTGGAGCTCATTGATTGGCTAAAATGGGTGCCTACTGAGCTCCAGGGAGTCTCTAAAGTGCTACCTTTAACCCGCACCCTGCCACAGCTGGCTTTTTATAGAAGTGCTGGGGGTCTGAATCCAGTTCCTCCGGCTGGTGTGGTCATATCTGTGCTCTGAAAGCTGGGTCTTAAAGCACTCACACCAGGCTGAGAAAAGCCAGCTGTCCACGGTAAGGACCACTGTGGGAACTCCCTGGGGAGCGGTCAGGCTCCCCACATGGAACTGAAGAGGGCAGCCATTGATGCAACAGAGAGGGAGGAGAGTAAGACTCCATATAGTGTGGTGGGAACAGCAAAGCCGGGAGGTGAAGAAAATGGAGAAATTACAGAAGAGAAGGCAGGGTTCGGGGAGAGGAAAAGCCACCGTGTGCCCCGGTGTTGAAGGGCAAGGCCTATGACAACTTCAAAAGCCTCCTGGGGCAGCGAGTGCAAGGGAGGTGGGAAAGGTGGAGGTCTCCAACTACAGAAAAGATGCTTTCTAGCCCCTGGAGCTAGGTGTGATGGGGCAACCTTTCACTGTTTAATTGTGTCACTTAGAAAGCAGAGGAAAGAGGATCTCTGAGTTCTGGTCCAGCCAGAGCTTCACAATGAGACTCGGTTGAAAAAATAAATAACACAATTAAAATCTTTAACCTTTTGACTAAAAGGCAGAGAATTAATTGGCTTTAGACCACCGTGGTTTCAGCATAGACACTGATTTGGAAGGGGAGCCCGACCGGTAGGTTTTGCAGCCATCCTAGGAGGAAACTGAACCAGAACCAGTGGAAAGAAGGCAGTTAATTGTGAGCATGCTCAGGGGGTGGACGGGCAGGTTGTTGGCTTGTTCTGCGGTGTGCCTGTCTGTTTGGTGGCGGGGTGGGAGCGTAAGTCAAGACCGTACATCAGGCTTCTGACTTGGCCATGGGGGGGGGGGGCGTGTATACAAAGGGAGCCTGGAAAATTGGTGTGGCTGGAGATATTTGGTACCAACGACAGAGAGGTGGGAGGAGAGGAGTAGGGTCACCTATAGTACAGTGTGAACCGAGAACCTGGCCAGGAAGAAAGTGGAAAAGAAACAGTCATTTTACTTCCCATAGAGAAAACCAGGAATGCCTTGGAGAGGGAAGAGAGAGTGACCAGAGAAAGATGTTGAAGATGATTTCACAGGCATGGGGGGAGGTTTCGGTGCAATGGATCCATTGGAGACGTGGGCTCAGAGGTCTGGATATCAGAAGACTACGTAATAATCCAGTGGATGGAGGTACAGGCATTGGAATAGGGATGTAACTGTCAAGGAATTTGACTGTGGGGCGGAGAGAAGGCCAGCAGTCCAGGGTTCCAGGTACCCACATACACAGTAACCGGCTGTGTGCGTCCAGCTCAGCCATGTGTTGAAATATTTGTGTATCAGTAAGTAGTGACGAGTAACTGCAACAGCAGGAAAAACACCAAGCTCTGACTGAACACTTGGAACTCCAGATCCCAGCAGCCTGGTCCTTCCGCCGCACCCGCGACTTTGCAGTGCCACCTGCTGGTGAAGGTGCGTCATGGCAGCGCAGAGGAAACACTAAAATCGAGTTTGTCCCAGTAGGGGTTGTGGTGTTTGCCTTTAAACCCAGCACTCCAGGCGAGACGAGAGGATTGCTGTGAATCTGTAGGCCATTCTGAGCTAAATAACAAGACCTTATCTCATAAAACAAATGAAAATTATCTTCAGGTCTTGGGTTGCTACTACTTGTAAACATTTAGCTCCATTCTTCTATTCGTAGCAGGTTTCAATGACTTGATTAAATATTAAAGCTGAACTTGAATGATAACATAACAAAGTTTGAGAAAATTAAAAAAAATTATCTTGGGGATAGAAAGAGGGGCTCAGTGGTTAAGTGGTTAAGAGTACTGGCTGCTCTTCCAGAGACCCTGGGTTTGATTCCCAGCACCTGGGTACAAGGTGGCTCACAACTGTCTGTAACCCCAGTTCAGATCCCTCTTGAAGTGTGAGAACCCCTTTGATTCTCAGGGAAAAAAATGACACCAATGAGCTAAAGCTCAGGATTCTTTTGTGGTAGTATAAAAATTAGAATAGTGTGGAAATTATTTCTAGTTTTTTGCTTGTTTTTGTTTTTTGAGACAGGGTTTCTCTGTAGCTTTGGAGCCTGTGCCACCGCGGCATGGCCTGTTTTTAGTTTTTAATTTTTAATTTTGAAGAATAGGGCTAGAGAGATGGCTCAGCAGTTAAGAGTGGGCTTACTTGTAGCTGGGTGGTGGTGGCACACACTTTTAATCCCAGCACTTGGGAGGTAGAGGCAGGTGGGTCTTTGTGAGTTCGAAGTCAGCCTGGTCTACAGAGTAAGTTCCAGGACAGCCAGGGCTATACAGAGAAACCTTGTCTGGAAAAACAAAAAAGCCAAAACCAAATGAAAACAAAACAAAACAAAAAAACCCAACCCAAACCAACCAAACAAAAAAAGGACCTGCTCTTGCAGAGGACCTGGGTCTGGTTCCCAACATTCAGGTCAGACAGCTCACAACTGCCTGTGACATCAACTCCAGAAGATCTAACTCCTTCTGGACTCCTGTGCAACTGCTCTCACACGCATGTACTTAAAGACACACACACACACACACACACACACACACATACAGGTAAAATAAAAAGCCAGGTGTGGTGGTACAGAGTAGGGGCAGTTAGATCTCTGGGAGTTTGAGGCTAGCCAGGTCTACCGAGCGAATTCCAGGTCAGCCAAGGCTATGTAGTGGCTGGAGAGATGCCTCGCAATTCCAGAGAACTGGAGTTCGGTTTGGTCCTTGTACCCCTGTTGGTTTATAACTGTCTGTGGTTCCATCTCCAGGGGACATAGATGGCCTCTGTGGGCAATTGCACTCACATGTACCCCACACAGACGTACATGCACGTGCATAGACCAGGCTGGCGTAGGACTCAGAGATCCCGCCAGTCTCTGCCTCCCGAGTGCTGGGATTGAAGGCGTGCGCCACCACCGCCCGGCTAGAGTTAATTTCTAATACCATCGAACAGTCTATCTTCCGAGTGAAATGGTCCCCACTAGGTTCACGTCTTTGGAACTTTGAGCCCGGCGGGTAGCCGTCTAGCGGAACCTTTAGTAGGTAGGTGGAGCCGCGCCGACGGAAGTGGGTCACTGGAAGGGAGGGTAGGGCCTCCATTTGAGACCAGCTTCGGTCTGGAATGGTGACCATGGCGAGCTCCCTGTGTCCCGTCTTAAACGGTAAGCCCAAACAAGCTTTAAAGTAGGTTCTTGTCAGGATCTTTGGTCATCTTAACCAGAAAGGAGTACAGACCTCAAAGCTTTCCAACTTGGAGCGTTTTCTCTAGTACTTTTGATTTTGTTTTCCCGGCCCAGGTTTTCATTTTCCCCAGCTTCCCTTATTTAGGTCTAATTGTCAGACTTGCACGTCTTTGAAGTATGTAACAAGGCGTTTTAGAGTACACTGTCTCGGGCGGCGGGGGCTGCTCGGTCGGTGAAGGGCTTGCCTCGTAGCTCAGCGCTTGGGAAGCCGATGGTAGAAATCACGTGAGGTAGCGGAGTGCGGTGGCTTGTGTTTGAAAACCCAGCTGAGAGAAGGAAGGGGCGGGCCGACTGCCGGGACCACTCGGCCGGCCCCTCTAGCTGCTTTAGACTGTGTGAAACTTGCTCAGAGCGGAGATGGAGGGCGCCTGCGGATCGCTGTGTTGAGGCTACGAGTTCCTTACCAGCCAGGGCTACATAGTAAGACCCTGTCTCAAAAACAACAACAAATAAACAAACAAAAAACCACAAAACAAACCAAAAAACCAAAACAAAACAAAAACCAACTTTTTAATCCCAGCACTTGGGAGGCAGAGCAGGTGTATCTCTGTGAGTTCGAAGCCAGCCTGGTCTACAAAGTGAGTTTCAGGACAGCCAGGACTGTTACACAGAGAAACCCTGTCTCAAGAGAAAAAATAAAAAAGAAGACGAAAGAAAAAAAAAAATGAGAAGAGAGAGGTGATCAGTTGGCATGGGGCATGGCGGGGTGGATATGAACAAAAATACATTCTATGCATTGTGAAAAGATCCTAATTCAACCTATTTAACTGTGTAAAAATAGGAAAGGGAGGGACATTTTAAAAATGCAATGTGAAGAAATTTGTTTTTACTTTTTTTGTGTGTTTTGAGGCACGGTTTCTGTTTGTAGCCTTGGCTGCCCTGGAACTGGCTCTGTGGACCAGGATGGCCTCAAAGCTCACAGAGATCCACCTGTCTCTGCCTCCCAAGAGCCGGGATTAAGGTTGTGCGTGCACCACCACCAGGCTCCCTTCATCTTTTATGGCCCCTGGGCAGACACAGCTACGAGCTAGACCTGGGTTCTTACCTAGCAGTGCTGGTGTTGGAGTGCCTGTTAACTATGCCTTGTGCTGCTCTGCTAAGGAGACCGATGGAGAACCTGGCACGCTGCTCCCTCCCTCTCCTTTCAGGGAACATCTTGCTTTACAGGTGTTTATAGGCGTTAACTGTGCCAGGTCCATCCCCACACTTCTTTTTGCTGCTAGGCTGATAATGAGCCTTGGAAGGAGACGGCTACAGTAAAGAGTGGCAGGAATTTGCTCACCGTTCTCCACCCCTTCCCTGTTCCATGTCCCCTGTGTTCTCTGGTTGGAGAGAGAGGGACCAGCCCCCCTCCCACGACATCTGTCACCTCTAGGTGAGGCCATCCACTTTTAGGGTCAAAGTTCTTGTGTTTTTGTCCCCTCCCATGTGGTGATAGGACCCAGGCCCTGGCGTGCACGGGTGTATAGTTACAGCAGCCCAGAGTGTTTTCTGGTTGGATGCCCTGATAAAACGGTCGTTGCATCGAACATCTTGGTCGTTCCTCCTCATGACACTTCCCACCTGGCTTCCCAAGAGCTGGGAGAGAGTGGGGTCCACACCGTCCTGCGTTTTCTTATGGTTTATGGTGTTGGTTTTGCCACTGCAGTTGCTGATGGGGTTGAGTGATGGCACCCCACTAATTTTGTACCACTGGGGGGTGCCAGCAAGTCCAGCCTGTGGTGCAGGTTAACAAATCCAAACAGTCTGGTGCCACCCAGCAGCGTTCGCTGTACACTGTTCTTGACATTGGAACCCCAGGAGGTGGAGTCACAGTGAGTCTGGGGTGCAGGCAATGCCCTGTGCCACGGTGCCAGGGTGAACCACTATTAATAAAAACTCAGAGACAGGCCAGGCGGTGGTGGCACACTCCTTTAATCCCAGCCCTTGGGAGGCAGAGGCAGGCGGATCTCTGTGAGTTTGAGGCCAAGCCTGGTCTACAAGAGCGAGTTCCAGGACAGGCACCAAAGCTATAGAAAAGCCCTGTCTTGAAAAACAAACAAACAAACAAACAAAAAAAACAACAAAACTTCAGAGACAGATATTGGGGTTCAACCTGAAGACAAGAAAAGCAAAGCAGCCAACCACTGGCTCTTAACGTCAACATTGATCCGAAAATGGTGATCCTGCCTCCAGGAAACCTCAGGATGAAATTGTGACTGAGAACTGTCTTCTCCCATTTTATAATCCTCTAGTTCTGGCATTCAGGGCATGTACCACTACCCCCTGGTTTCTATGGCATGCTAGTGTGGCTTCTGGGATTAAAGGTGTGTGCCGTTGCTGCCTGGTCTGTAAGGCTGGCCAGTGGAGTTGTTTGTTTTACTCTCTGATCCTCAGGCAGGCTCTAGTTATTAAAATGCGAGTGAAATGCCTCGTCAACAAGGTGACTGGAGTCAGCTGTAGCTTGAATAACGAGAGCCTGGGAAGCCTGCAGGGGACCCGCGGCCAAGGGTACTGAGAACCAAGTAGACCTGGCCCGGTTGAGTTCAACAGTGTGCCCGTTTTAGATATGGCTGAACACTGCCTGATGAGCCGATGAACTAAATCACCCCGTGTTTGTCTGTGGTGCAAAGACAGTGGTGTTAAAGCTGCAGCTCTGAGGTCGGGGAAGGAAAATCTCCCCCAGGGACAGAGCTTGGGCAATGTATCTACCTGTCCCCTCCAAATAGAAGAGACGGTTGCATGCTGAGGTGTCCCGATTTACCCACAGTTCTGTTGTCAGGGTGCTCAAGGGACTTTTAAAGATTGAGACTGTAAGGTTTGAAATCCCAGCCCTCAGCGGTGGATCTCTGAGTTTGAGGCCAACCTGGCCTACAGAGTGAGCTCCAGGACAGCCAATGCTGTGCAGAGAAACCTGTCTTAAACGCCAAAAAAGAAAAAGGAAAAAGTGCAAGAAGATAGTCTTGAGTTAGCAAAATGTCCACTAGAGGGCAGCCTCCGGCAGGGGCAGAAGCAGAGGCCAGGCGGGCGCCCCAGAGCACAGCCCTGTCCTCAGGAAGGCGCGGCAGGCCCTGTCACTCCCCAGCCTGCTGGGGGTGAAGGGTGAATCTGGCCAGAATTCTGGAGAGGAGCAACCAGTCTTTCACAGCTTTGATTTTATCTTTCTTTGAATTCGTCTTCAAGGATTAATGCCTGTATTGTGTCACTTGCTGTCTTAAATGGTTATTTCTACCAGAATTATCACTCATTCACCTTATAACTTAGGGTTATAACCACCGTCTTCCTGCCCAGCCCTCAGGGAACTGTGTTTATAGGGCTGCACCCCCACACCTACCCAGGGTTATAACCACCGTCTTCCTGCCCAGCCCTCAGGGAGCTGTGTTTATAGGGCTGCACCCCCACACCTACCCAGTCGACTAGCAGCAAACACTCAGAACCTCGGCTGTCTCACCCCACTTTGCTCTTCTCTGTCCTGGGGGGATTCTTTGTCTCTATTATCTCTTTGCAGATCATGTTCAGTCTCTGCAGTTTCGTTTTTCTTTAAGATTTATTTACTTATTGTGTACACCTGCAGGCTAGAAGAAGGCACCAGATCTCATTATAGATGGTTATGAGCCACCATGTAGTTGCTGGGAATTGAACTCAGGACCTCTGGAAGAGCAGCTGGTGCTCTTAACCTCTGAACCATCTTTCCAGCCCCGCCCCTGCAGTTTTTTCATCACATAAATGAGCAAATTTGGGGCCAAGCAGAGCAGATAGTTCAGTCAGTAAAAATGCTTTTTCTGTAATCATGAGGATCTGATTTCAGATTCCCAGATCCCATGTGAAAACCATGGCATGGAGGCCGCATGTAATCCCAGTGCTGGGGCGGCAGAGGCTTGAGGCTGCTGGGGCATCCGGGCCAGCCAGGCTTGCTGGATTAGCCGACTCCCTTGGGCTTGGGTTACAGGAGCTCTCTTCACTCTCTGCTTCCTGATTGACGATGATACCATAATGTGACTGCTGCTTTGCCTTCCCTGCTGTGATGGGCTGCACCTTCTCAGAGGGTGAGCCAGGAGGAACACTTCTTCCGCAGTGGATTTTTTTTTTAACCTTTCCTTGTTTTTCTGAGGTGCTTTGTGTCAGTACTTAGAAAAGTAATGGACACACTCATCGGTATTTTCCGACCTGTAATCTACTCATTTGGCTACATCACTCTGTGGTGGTTTGAGAAAGAATGGCCCATGGTTTCAGCTGCGCAGCTGAAGGCTTGGTGGACTGTTGGGAGGTGTGGCCTTGGAGAATGTGTGTCCCTAGGCTTTAGGGTTTCAAAAGTCCATGCCAGGCTCAGGCACAGTCTCTCTCCCCATCCTGCCTGTGGATAGTGATAAACTCTCAGCTACTCTTCAGCACCATGCCTGCCCGCACACACATCGCGGGATGATGGCCTCTCACCCCGAAACTGTAAGCAAGCCCCCAGTGAAGGGTGTTTTCTTTTTTTACGAGTTGCCTTGGTCGTGGTGTCTTCGCAGCAGTAGAACAGTGACTGAGCCACTCGGGAATTCCTGACTTAACCCACAAAGTTCACTGAAGTGTCACCATAGTCACAGTATCCTTTGCCTGGTACTGTTAGTAGTGGGAAACTTCAGCAGAGTGGGGGGAGAGGAGAGAGCGAGCTACTTGGGTTGTACAGGACTCAAAGTCTGCGTCACCGTGTCAGGATCCCCGGCAGGTGCAGAGGCAGCATGGGTGGACACCAGGACACCGTGATTGGCATCGTGAGTGGCATGGGGGGCCCCAAACACCTGTGAGGAGAGTCACATCTCTGCTCCTGATGTTTTTCCTTTTCTCTTTTGATACTAATTAATTCCCTAAATAGCTATATTGTAAACTATATTGTGCAGGGTCTCCACTGGGGAACAAGGGCTGGAGAAATCATTTAGTGGGCAAAGGGACGCATC